TCGTTGGGCACTCTGCTTGCCTGTGGGTTGTAGCCCCGCACGTCCAGCATCTGGCCTTCTTGTCCTCCTTGCTGGCAAAGGCATGCGTGAACTTGCAATTGGCACCACGGCGGCACCCTTCATCAGTAGCCCAAAACTTACAGGGTGGCTGTTGCTTCTGTCCCTGGCCCTTCCCAGTCGGAGAAGTGGATGACGAAGGCGTCCTCGGATCCACGCTCGCACCCTTCAGCTTAGCGATCTGGTTGCTAAAAGGGATCACCTGTTGGAGCTCCGCAATGACATGGTCCGCGTACGTGAGCACCGCGGACAAGGCCGGCTTGTAGGGAAGCCCGAGCTCACTCTTAGCCATGTTCAGCTTGAAACTGATGTCCTTGTTGTTCTCCGTGAGGTTCTTGATGGCCGCCTCCAGTGCAACAAGGAGCACACTTCCATCGGGCAGGGAGACTCCCATTTCAGCTGCTCGGCCAATGAGCTTCTTCCACTTGTGGAGCGCGGCAATCATCTCTACGACGTTGTTCTGAGGCTGAATATGCTCAAGCTGCTTGATCAGGCTTGCCCTCTCGCTCGCGCCTCCAGGGGCGTAGATTGTAAAGAGCTTGAAGAGGCAGCTCTTGACCTTGTCAATCCGCAGCATGGTGATCTCCGCCTTGATCGTCGAGTTCATTGTGGCCAAGAGCAGCGCCATCACTCGCCTTTCCAGGCGAACCCACTTTTCTCCATGCACCGCCTCGTCGTTGCCGACAGTTATGGAAAGCCTCTTCAGGGGGGTCTCGGCCTGGAACTTGTAGTACGCCATCTTTGCCAGTTCCAAGTTCCCGAGCCACCAGTTGGTGGCCTTGTCCGTGATGGATCCGATCAACTGGCCCGCCTCGTAGATCCATTCCAAGAACATCACAGCACTGGAGTCCTGGTAGGGCTCCGGAAGCACGGGCAACGTGATATTGCCCTTGAGCAGCTCAGGGTCCTGGAAATCCTTCTTGAGCTGCAACTGTTGTAGCTGTTGGATGCCTTGGGCCAGCAAGTCCATCGACGCCATCGGACTCTTGTCCTCTGCGCTCTCCTGGCCACCGATCCCTGCCCTCCCCGAAGGAGCGGCTTCAGAAGTTCCCTTAGACTTTCCTGCAACATTTTCGCCGTTGCCGCCTTCGGGACTGACTCCTGATGGACTGGTACCCCTGGAGCGTAGAGCGTGCCCCTCTCGTAGTCCCGCCTGATCCCCAAGTTCTCGACGAGAAGGCACAGGTAGGCCGGGAGGAGCCCGGAGACGCCCGCCTCCGTCCTCTCGTTCAGCACGAAGATCCCCTCGCATCGGTGCGCCTTGGCCTCTGGCTTCCCCAAGGTTTGCTCCCTTATCACCAGAAACACCCTGGGCATTCACAGCTGTAGGCCTCGCCTCACCGTCTGCTCCCTCCGTACTTGCATTGATCATCGCCATCAAGAGCTGTTTCAGCTCCGCATTCTCATTCTGCAGTTCGCTCACCTTCGTGTCACGACCCTGCATAGCTAGCTGCACCGCCTTGCGTACCTCTTCCTGCACAACCTCTGGCTGCAAGGATCCCGTTGACGACTGGTCGCCGTGGGCCTCGCTGTGTCCGGGCTGCATCAACCTAGGTTGTTGTTCAGGTCGAGGGATCTCGGGGGTGGTAAAGGTCGGCGTAGCTATGGACCAAGTTGGGGACTGAGAGTACCATGAGGCAGGAGAGGCCGTAGGGTGAGGGCGCATCCGGTCCAAACCACGCTGGACCATGTTCCGAATCCGTGCAAACCAAATCATCTGGTCGCCCGTAGTGTCTGAAATCTCACCCGTCTCCATCGAAGTCATAGACTCAACACCCTCAGAGTTTGTAGATGCAATGACCCTGGACGCCCGAGCATGCAAAGCCGCCACCAGAGCACTCCTCTGCTCGGCCAGCTGGTTCAAAGCCATCTCGCTTCCACTGAGGACACCCGTGGTGGACACCTGCGCTGGAGCCGCTGCCGCTGTGGTCCTGGGCTGCCGCTGCGAAGTAGTAGTAGGTGTTTCTACCATCGGTGTGGGTGGGGTGCTGATGTCGTAGTGTTGGGTTGTAGCTGCAGGTAGGGCTGGTGTGTCTCGCTGCTGCTGCTGCTGCAGTTGTTGATAGCCTTGCCTGCTACGGAGCCCCAAAGCCTCACCCTGAAACCTTCGTACATTCGCGCCCGGTCCGGTTGTAGCACTCTGTCCAGTCATAGCGTTCGCGCCCGATCCGGTTGAAGCGTCCTGTCCAGTCATGGCGTTCGCGCTTGGTCCGGTTGAAGCGTCCTGTCCAGTCATGGCGTTCGCGCTTGGTCCGGTTAAAGCGTCCTGTCCAGTCCTGGCGTTCGCGCTTGGTCCTGTGGCAGCGTCATGTCCAGTCGTGGCACTCGCGCTTGGTCCGGTGGCAGTGTCATGTCCAGTCGTGGCATTCGCGCCTGATCCGGTTTCACCAACCACACTGCACACTGTACCACGGAAGGGAGCCGTTGCTCCCAAACCACTGCCACGTGGTTGATCATCTGCGTCTTGCGAACCCGTCGGAACAGTCCTTCCTCCTGGAGGGAGTGGATCTTGAAAACCAACCACACCATTTGGAAAAAACTGCCCTTCAGCCATAGCTCGATTCACATTGTAGTCCTCCTGGAGAAACGGGAGGCCAGCTCCACCGGCGTCCACTCCTCCGTAGGTCGGCACTCGGCCCGCCATGCTGTTTCTTTGTCCTCCAAGCGTGGTGCTTGGGCTCATAACCTGTGGAGTTCGCTGTCCGGGTAGTAGTCAATTGTCAAGGGTTGGAGCAAGCGAAGCAAACAGCCATGGCATCGAATTGAGGTTGTTTTCCACTCACGCGGAACCTGTCAATCTGTTGGATGCTAACGACCTGCTTGGGGTGTACAAAGGGCAGGGTCGTAGCTTCAGTTCACTATACAAATCCTCGGTAAGAGCTTCGAAACGGACTAGGACGCTCAGGTCCCTTGGCCATCACACTTCGGAATCGAACATGGCACTCTGGAATCAAGACAGAGCTGCGAATTCTCATCATCACTCCTCCTTGACGCACGCCCGCGGCTTGCGGCATTTCACCCTTTCGTAGTCAGCTCTTCTTGGCCCATCT